GATAGTGATCCTGTGGTGGAGGCGTTAACTAATTACTCTAGGTCTACTCTATTTAATTGTAAGGTGCGCATGTCCAACTGGCAGGTGTCATCTGACCTTGACCTCATTTTCATGGTTCATTTGGTCAATGTTAAGTATTTGCAGTTTGATCTGTTTCTTAGGTACTATTAGTGATAGGACCACTTTATTTGGTGCATGGAATGATTGTAAGGTCTGTCTGGCATGGTCAGACCATGAACTCATTTTCATAGAACATTGATAATGTTAAGTTTATAGGATACTTGTAGTATAACCTTCATATTACAGACTTTCAACATGAAATCAGTGATAAGTAAAACAGGCGAGACATGTCAGCATGTGCACTGTTGTTTTGAAGATTAATTATTGAATAATGTAAATCATATGAAGATGAAGAATCACAGGAACCCCTTTACAGACTTCAAGGTTTAGGGGGGTAAAAAGAAACTTTTAATGTAAATTGATGTACTTGAGCTTTAGTAGATATTGTATGTTGTCTTAGTTGGTCTTTCAGATAAAAGTTACATCATTCTACACTTTTTTTAAATTGATTTCATATACATGTCTAAATAGATTGTCTTTGAAGTTTTATATCCATTGAATCTTAGCTACTATGTTATATGGGCCAAAAATTGTTTATTTAGTCGACAAAGAAAATCTTTTTATTTTATATGTTAAAAAGATCACAGGTGTATCATACAGTAGAGCATAGCTAGTATAACTTAAGAATATGTGGTAATATTTCAAACCAGACAAATATTCACCAGAGGCTGAGACACCTACCCACTGGACACCAAAGGGTGAAGATATAAACAACTAGAGATTGCAGTACAACATTCAACAATGAGCAAAACCCATACTATATAGTAATGCTATAGAAGACCCCTACATTACAAGATATCCAGTTACATTAGCCTGTAGCTTACCTAATTTGGGAGACCCCTAATCTCCCTTCTCCCTGAATTTTCACATTTAATATTTATAGAAATAATGTAAAATACTGGATTTAGTTTAATTTATTTATCCTGCAGTTATATCTCAGGAGCAAATGAATTTCTGATATTTAATGAATAAAAGCCATTTGAATTCCATGATAGTATTAAGAAAACTATTTGGCAATGGTGTTGTCTGATTTTATTCAAGATACATTTATTGATATGCCTCTTTGGTATCTACTTCCTCTTTTTAATTAGACAATATAGTGTTTGTGAGATCATAGACTGTGATGGAAAGGGAAGGTCACCCCATTAGAGTTTACAGACACCAGATGAAATGGTAAGGTCATCCCATTAGAGTTTACAGACACCAGATGAAATGGTAAGGTCACCCCATTAGAGTTTACAGACACCAGATGAAATGGTAAGGTCACCCTATTAGAGTTTACAGACACCAGATGGAAAGGTAAGTTCACCCCATTAGAGTTTACAGACACCAGATGGAAAGGTAAGTTCACCCCATTAGAGTTTACAGACACCAGATGAAATGGTAAGTTCACCCCATTAAAGTTTACAGACACCAGATAAAATGGTAGGGTCATCCCATTAGAGTTTACAGACACCAAATGAAATGTTAGGGTCATCCAATTAGAGTTTACAGACACCAGATGGAAAGGTAAGTTCACCCCATTAAAGTTACAGACACCAGATAAAATGGTAGGGTCATCCCATTAGAGTAAGGTTAGTTCACCCCATTAAGACTTTACAGACACCAGATGAAATGGTAAGTTCACCCCATTAGAGTTTACAGACACCAGATAAAATGGTAAGTTCACCCCATTTAAGAGTTAACAGACACCAGATAAAATGGTAAGTTCACCCCATTAGAGTTTACAGACACCAGATGGAAAGGTAAGTTCACCCCATTAGAGTTTACAGACACCAGATGAAATGGTAAGTTCACCCCATTAGAGTTTACAGACACCAGATGATATGGTAAGTTCACCCCATTCAAGTTTACAGACACCAGATGGAAAGGTAAGTTCACCCCATTAAGAGTTTACAGACACCAGATGGAATGGTAAGTTCACCCCATTAAAGTTTACAGACACCAGATAAAATGGTAAGGTCATCCTATTAGAGTTTACAGACACCAAATGAGACGATAATTATATATCAGGTGACTTGAGGTCACCATATTAGAGTTAACAGTCACCAAATTTAAGATTTGCCTCCAAATCAACTGGCAAAATCACAAACGTTGGTAATTTAATGGGGTTATAAGGTATTAAATGGGGGTATATCTTCAACTTATAAGGTATTAAGTATTAATTTAAATGTCTACAAGAGAAATGATATCATCCCTTTCCAAAATATGTTACTGTTTTTTTTATTCAGAAGAATGCCACAGGCTTTGAGTGAGAATTAACATTTAATTCCCTGGATCATTTTGTGTTTAAATAAGTATTTATGTTATCAGAAATGATCAGGTAAAGATATTGTAAAGATTTTGTTTTCTTTGTAAGTAGGATGGGTATTATTTAATTATAAAGTTTGAAATTGGAATGTTTGAATATATTTTTAGTTTAAATGAAATGATAATTTTCTAATTTTGAAACTTAAAATGTACTCATTGACAAATAAGAAAGTTATTTATGATGGTATTTTGAGATTAAGTGATTTTGTTTTTGATTTACACATTTTGAATATTCTGTTTCAATGCAATTATTTTATCTGAAGTTAAGTTTGATTGAAATTTTTGAAATTCTCTGTATAATTATTAACAGAATGTATTTCAGGTAAATTTCTATGGATAGAAGTTATCCAATATTGACTTTTCAGACTGCAAATTATTCCTTCTCTAATTAATGATTCAAGATTCACATAAAAACACCTGTAAACATGCTAATCAATAACAATAAATATTTTCCCTTCAGAAGTGGTTGTATACAGTATATATATCTATACCCAGAAATTTTATTAAAATTCATGATCCAGTCCCTTCCCTTAATTTCCTTTTAAAATATTCATGAATGTTCATTTATTTTCAACATAGATCACACTGAATTTTAAAGAGGATTATGACTTAATATATACATGAAGTTATCGTTAGCATTGATAATAAATATATAATGTTAATTTTTGTAAAGGTGTAAACAGGTGCATTATAACCTTTCAGGTAAAAATTACTATTACTCGTAAATTTTAAACACATTAATCATATCTTCATTGAAAAGGTAGTATGAGTATTGATCACATGACACTTAGAAATTCTCACTATAGAATTAAACCTAATACCAACAAAGGAATGACCATTCAAAGTAATACTCAGGTAAATTCTGGGTCAGAAAGAAGGATAAGTCATAAGTGTTAGAAAATATATGTAAAGTGAGCTATTTAACATGTTTAACCTTATTTTGCTGGATTTATAAATTTTAATATACAGTAAGTTGTTAATTTGTGTACACTTAGTCTACAAAAGCATTCAAATGATATAGTTAAATGGATGCAGATCCAGGATTATAAAAAAGGGGGACTGGCCCCCAAAGTTAACGTTGGGAGTGGGACATGTAAAAATTCTATGCATTAACTTTATTTTTAGGTCCATAAGGGGGAGGGGTACCATGGCCCCCCTAAATCCGCCTCTGGTAAATTATTTAGATAAATCAGGGTCAAAATTTGTCACTTTTGAAGCAGGTTTAAAAGATAAGGATCACATAATGGTGGAAAATGAATGTGATATTGCTAGTTTGGATGAAAGATGAATTTGTTTCACAACCTGTTATATATATGAAGGGGGATCTTAGATAATCCTTTTCAACGACTTTTTTCTAAGTGTACTGGTGTTTTAACTCTGCTAAAATTTGGACAACAGTAATTTTATTCAAAGGCTTGGTTTTCACATATAAATTGGACTCTATTCACAAATGTCCTAATTGGATTTGACAAATTTCTGATGTACATATTTGATTATGGGAAAAATGACCTTTTATTAATGCATGTACTGATGTACTGTGAAAAACTTTACCAGAGTGTGGAGAAAGGTCATCGGTTGAGTTTCAGAATTGCCAAAAAAAAATGACAAAATTAAGGTTCGAATCATTCTAGAATATATAAATACTTCACAAATTCTAAGTTTTCCATATTTTGAAGTTTAATTGACATTCTTTCTCATTGTATACAAATAGATCACCATAAAAAAGTTTTGAATCTCCTGTCTAAGATCATCATTTTTGATATCTTGGAACCATAAGCTGATATGATTTTTTTAGTGCTATTTTTAGTCTTTGATTAAAAATAACTACAAATAAGTTATTTATTTATTGATAACATCTATATTTATCCTGTTTTTAGAAATTCAAAATCACCTTAAACTTAATTTCACCTTTCTGTACAGGTATGTAATTTTACGTCGTAATTAACGTAATTAAATACATGCCTTGCGTCACATACTTTCATTTTTTATGACACATTTAACTATATATAATAGTGAAAATATTTACAGTAGTAGCAGACTGATTACCTGTGGTAATTACACCTTTATGTATATTTTACAATCTCCATTGTTTATATTCATTGGCCACATTATAAATTATTGGCTATAGATAAACAGAGCATTTATATTCATAAGAAGATTTACTCTGTAAATTCTTTTGTTTGGAAAATCGATTGAAACATTATTGTTTTGAACAAATTTGAAGTGCCATGTACTGATCAGTCTAGAATATCTAAACCTTTGTATAATTTGCTATTTTGGGGCCCTTTATAGCTTGCTGTTCGGTGTGAGCCAAGGCTCCATGTTGAAGGCCATACTTTGACCTATAATTGTTTACCTTTTACACATTGGCACTCATACCACATCAGTGACATCTTCTTATTTCTACATGATTTAAATTGAGTTGTTACTTTTTAACATTAATCTTTCCATTCCAAGGTTTGATAGGTAGAAAATTGATAAAATTGGTTTGTTACCTTGGATAAGCAATATTTTTACCTGGGAAAAACAATACAGACAAGTGATATAGTTCATCTATTTTTAGACACTTCTTAAAGATTTCCAAATACCAAGAAGCTATGATAAAATAGAAGTATTATCTGCAATTGACCTGAAAGTAGGTTTTATTTTAAATTCTGGTCACCTTACAAATAAGGATCATCCAATCTTAACCACAGGGTATGATTCATATTTGTATAATACTGATTAAATAATTGTATAAACAAATGTATACTCGCTCTGGGATTTTAAATTATATTATGCTTTTAATAAGAGTTTGTCCAATTTGAAGGTTAAGAATTCTCTCATTTTCTTAGACATAATATCACATACAGTACGCAGTAAGTATGTTAGAAAACAAAAGTGTTAGAGATTATGTGACAGACATGTTCTTGCTTGCCATTACATAATTTAATTGAAAACACACAAATTACCTTAATTTAATTAAAATGTCAGCAAAAAGCTGTTATACTTAGTAAAGTTTGTTTACTGGTGAGATTTAATTGGCAGAGTAATATAATCAGATAAGATTAATATACCTGGGAATGTCGCACATCAATTGTTTATCAATAATACATTTACAGGTATCAATAAGCATTGGAATACAATTTAAATATCAAATATGTTGATCTAAAAAGTTTTGTGTACATACACAATATTGATTGATTTATTCTGATATATTGGAAGTTGACTTTGAGTCAGCACTAAGTTAAGAATTGTTTTGAAATTTCATATGGATATTAGTCAAGTCTTGGTCAGGTAAGTGTGACAAATATCTCTATTCATAACAGTGTTATAAGTTCTGTTAATAATGTTATTCATATGCAGATTTGATATGTAAAATGATAAGCAGGTATGAATCGGTAAAATAATTAGAAGGAAGTAAAAATTTGCACCATTTAACACACATTACAAAATGTGTTCTTCAGCAACCAAATTGACTAGAATGTAGAATTTGACATTAGGAATTTTATGTCTTGCTTGACTAACTGTCCTGTCATGGTCACATATGTGTTTTGACAGGAATGTCAGTGGCACATCTCTGATTCAAAAACAGAGAACCAAACCTAAATTGAAATGCATACAATATTGATCTGACAAATACCTGGTGAGTAATATGAAAACTATAACAGTGTGTGTCAAACTTCAAACTTTTGAAAATAATACCATGATATACTTACATATCAGGTGCTGATATTTTGCCATTTATCTTGTCTTATAAAAATAAGGAAATGTGATATGATTGCCAATGAGACCAAATGACATAGAAGTTAACAACTATAGGTCACTTTACGGCCTTCAATAATGGACAAAACCCATACTGCATAGTCAGCTATAAAAGGCCCCAAAATGACAAATGTTAAACAATTCAAACGAGAAAACTAACGGCCTGATTTATGAACGTTTTTACTCATTTTGTGTAAGGATAATGTTTAAACGTTGACCTTTAGAAGTGTTTTTTGTACTTTGTAATGTTGGTGGATGTCTACTTGAAGTATACCCTTCAAACAAGGAATTATTTGAATCTGGAATAATTTTGAATTTTGGAAAATTGATAACAAATGCATGAAACCTACCGAATTTAACATGTTGAAGGGAGATTTTGTTAGTTCAAACTGAAATATCAGTGAAAGTACAAATTAACCTTAGCCATGCGCGCATGGGTAACACTCTTTAGTTTTCATCATACATTTCTTATCAATTTTCCAGAATTCAAAATTATTCCAGATTCAAATAATTCCTTGTTTCTACCATTTATTCATATTTATAAAAACAGGTTTAGGAATTCTGTATTCAGTCAAAATTTGATTCTTTAAAGATAAACTGCTTTGAAATTATATAGATTTTGATTCAAGAAAAGATTCCATTTAAAGCATCCATTCATGAAATATATGCTCCATATTACCATTGACAATAAATATTAGCTGTGTCATGTGTAGTGAGTATAGTATTAATCTTCAGCACATCACTGATACCAAACTTCTCTTGTTTCATGTTTTCAGTGGTGCTTCATTTACATAAACAATTTTATTTTATTTGATAGCTTTATAAGAATGTACTTTTATGTAAAATCTATAAAGAAATGTACCTTTGCTGGATTATTTTGTAGTTTGCATTTTGATACAAGTAAACAAATGAAATCTCACTGATAAATATATACATATATACTAGTATATATATCCAATTAAATCAGATTTACTTTTTTTCCATTGAATTGTTAATATTGCTTTTTAAGGGTATTAGGATGACAATAAAAGTTTAACATATTGAATGTGAAAAATTAGATAACAAAAATACTGAACTCCAAGATAAATAAAAAAAAATGTGACTAAATGCTCTACTATATCAACCAACATAATGATTGGAAAACAAATGTCATATTCCTGAATAGGTACAGGAATTTCCTGTAGAACATGATAGGTTAACCCTGGCTTTGTTGCTAACTTAACATCCCAAATAAGTATATATATAATAAAGATTAACAGATCAATTTTATGTTTCTTTTGGATGACATGGAGTCAGGAATTCGGCAACTGGCAAGGGCAATCTACCATTTGTGTTGTCCCAACTCATTGAATTATTGCTTGTACTGTATATGTATGAATACATGTATTCTTGTCAGTATTGCATATTCTAAGTAATGGCTGTTTTTATACGTCTGTTTTTATAAATTTAAGATTTTAAGTTTCCATGTTTTGGGTTTTTTTTCATTAAAAAATGGGGATTTTCCAGTTTTCGGACAATAACTCAAAAACACTTTCACCAATTTGCAAGAAACTTTGGTGAATTGTTTATATCTATTGCCATGAGCTCCCTTTAGATTTTTATAAATTTTCTTTTTTACGTTTCGGAGTTATGTGATTGTATTCATAAAAAAGGGGGTATTTTTCAGTTCGGTCAATGCTTTGAGCAGTTATCTTTGAAACTTTGGTGACTGGTTTATATCTATTAAGATAACCTCCCTTTAGTTTTTCATGAATTTCTGATATGACATTGAGAAGTTATTGAACTTTATACTTTGAAAAAGCGACGGACGTATCATGCACTCATGGCGCAGCTGTTTATTAGTTTTGCCATGAGCAGATGAGACAGCTTTGTGTCATATATAAACCAATATATATCTTTTATTTTTGTCCTTCTGGCTATATTATCCTACCAAGCTGGTATAATATTACAGTTGTTCAATAATATTAACAGATGTTTCAGCAATATGAGGAAATTGTGAAACTTTTGACATTGATTTTAACTATTTAACTACTGCATTAACTTGATATCTGAAGTCATCTGGGTATTCAAATCTGTCATGAAAAATGAAAAAAAAATGTTTACCGTATGTAAGTTAATACTGTTAAAAGGATAAAACTGTACAAGGACAGTCAAACTAGACTGCAGCAGGTTTAGAAAATATTTGTAGTTGGGTCTATTATACTAACAGTTAGTATAATTGTCCCAGCCGTAACCAAACACAAATTGAAAATACTTTCATATTTTTGGTATCCTTGAATAGGCCTTAAACATATTTTCACAGAGAGTATGAAAAAAATAATGACAGCAAAGAGCTTTTTTTTATCTACAAAATTGTTATGTAAGACTCATTACATGTCCGCAAAACTCTGCATGTATTTCTACCCTTATTAAGAAGAATGAAATGCAGAAGGTAGTACAACAAAAATTTAATCTCTGTAGGATACACTAGAGGATTCAAAGCCAGGCCACAACTGGCAGATACCCAATCATTTTATATTCGTATATTTTCATCCTTTTGTGAGCTAATTGGATGTTCTTTTAATATTTCAGATATAATTGAACAACAGAGAGTGTTGAGATTTAGATCAAGGTGATATAATACATGTGATACTTCACCTAGGACTAGAACACAGTAGCATTACAATCAGTTCAAAATCGTTACCAAATCAGTACTGCATCAGCTATCCTTTAGTCATTACAAAGTGTGACATGGAATGATTTTTTATAAGGACAACAGTGAGAAGGTTCCTGGAGGTGCCAAGTCGTTTAGTAGTAAAGGTAAAGGTAAAGTTATCTGACTGGATGACACAACCACTTATAATAATCCATATACAATGTATACACATTTTGCAATGACTTTTAGAAAGAAAAAAAAACTCAACGCTAAGATAATTCATAGTTATAGGTATATACTTTTTATATGATGATGTTGGGAATATGTCAATGAGATGGCAATTCAACAACATTAAGCAGACATTTAAGACAAAGAACAGCTGTATCATCATTTTCATTGTTAATCATTCAAATCTTCCACTTCTCTTTTTTTTCCCTTATTTGTTTATTATTTTTCCTGGTTACAAAACATGTATTAAAAAAACTAACCATTTGAAAATAATGCTTTTCCTAACCCAACTGAACTCGACCTTGCTTACCAGTGCTTTGACATTCTTTTCTGGTGATCTACAAAAAAAAGATTGACTTTTTCCTGTGCAATATAGTAAGCATGGTCCAACTCTGTTTTGTAAAAAAGACAATATAGAAAGTAGAAATAGCAAATTGATAAATGAGAGAATTTTCTTTTCTTTCATGAAATATGAACATCCCAAAACTGTTCTGTAGATATTTAAATGCAGACAATCTCACCCAAATTTTAATGTGGAAATAGAGTGTGAAGTTTAACCAGTGTTTTCTTTGTTCACGTCATTAAATAATACATATCTGATATCAAGCATCCGACAGAAGTGTGTATTACCAACAATGTGTACCTTCTTAACTGGCATTTTAACTGAAATGGTAGATTAATCTATTGTTCGTGACCATAAGGTAGTAAAATGTGAAAGGTTATATCCCATTGATACCATCATGCACTTCAAAGTATGGACGTCATGTAGATAATATAGGGAAAGCTAGTGAATTTGATAGGAATTTAGATGCAGAAAATAAATACCTAAATAATTTTATCACTCATGAAACTGCTAGCTAGCCTGTATAAAATTGAAAATTTATGAACTGTACTACAAAAATAAATTTAAAAAGTACACATAAACTTATCACAGTCAAGGGATGTTAGTTTACGTGTTTAAATTGTAAAATGTCAGCATAAAAACTTTACTGATTTAAATCATGTAACTTGGTTAATATTAATCCATTTTTCCAGCAATTCCTTTACAAATAAATAAAACATACTGTGCTATACAATTTGACAGTTGGAAGTTGTGAAAGTGTTATTTTACATGATCAATTTGATAGTAATAATTGTTATACTTCACTTAAATACTATATACATGGTATACATTTTATTTTGAAATTTATTTTTCAAATTTTCATAAAATTTGTTTTTAATGTTTCTAAATACATTCTTAAAGCAAACATGTTTCATTAGAAATAAAGCAATTATGTTTACAAATCAATATTTCATATGTATACTGCATGATATGTTGTGGTATAAATTAGCTGAATTTCAAATATAAACTTTCCCTTATATTAATATTTCTGTGTTTGCACTTAAATACTGTGTATATATCTAACAACTTATGCTGTAATGGTGGTATTTGCACACCTTTATGAATTCAAAAATATTTACATGATGTAGATCAGATTATTGAGGAATGTACTCATACCTGTTTATTGATTATGGATTATTGTTTATTTGTTATGATACAACATTAATATCCATGGAAATCTTGTCTGTAGCATATAAGTGCATGAAACTATGAGAAAGGATCAAATATCTATAGATTAATTTCAATGTTTTTATAATCTTTTAATCGCTTTAATTCTTATGAAATCTTCTTGATTGTGTTAAATAATCTGTATTCATAGGTTAGTTTATTTTTCACTAAATTGATGCTTTTTTTTACGCCTTTTAAGACGGGACATATGATGGTATACAAATGTCAGTCTGTACATACTTCTTTTGATAACTCAAATTTGCTTGAACCAATTCTCATATAACTTTTACACAACATTAGAATTAACCACAGAAAGCCCCCTTTCGAAATTTTTTATTTTTGGATTTGTTATTCCAGGGTTACTGAACTTTGATTGATTCAGTGGAAACTTAACATAGTTGTTGGAATTGGTGAATGTATGATGAAATGCCTTCAAAATATCCCATTTTATTCTTGCAACAATTTCAATATGCAGAATAAGGGTTTATTATGCACTCTTGGCGCAGCTGCTTATTATTCCATCTATACCTTTATGTATATCAGTTTAATGATAAATTCATGCTTACTTAAAATGAGGAGAGTCTCAGGAGACACCATTCCTTAAACAAATGGATGATCTACAATTTTTAAATTCAATTTATAATTTGTTGGGTATATGTCTGTACAATGTTGTACCAAATAATGTCCTTATATTTTCAAAAAGTAAATACTGTATTCTGTATAGATGTAAAACCACCAACACCATGATCTGGACCAAGGTCACTCTATATAATTGATTAAAATTTCTAACTATCAGGAAACAAGAATTACCTGCATGTATAAAAAAAAAGACAGATGAATAAATATGAAAAGAGATGCATCTCTGTTTTATCAAAGCAGTTATAATTATTGAGTAGAGTTTACAGTTGTTGATTTCTATTTCAGTGATGTCCATACTATTATTCCATGTATAGGACTTCCTGCTGTTACTCTGATATTTGACTTGTTGATTTCTATTTTCAGTGATGTCCGTACTGTTATTTCAGTGTATAGGAGTACCTGCCGTAACTCTGATATTTGCCTGGTTGTGTATGTACTTTGGTCTTTCTGATACCTATAGTTACTTTCCTGTGGTATCTACACAGAGACTGTATGATATAGACAGCAACATTGGTATACAGTCACAGTTCTGGAGTATAGCTAATGTTTCTCGCATCTCGGCTGTAAGTTTTTTGACATCATGGATACTATTTTATGCATTAAGCCATTTTTAGCCGACTTCAAAGCCATTTATTTTCCTGATTTCCTCACATTCCTGATGTAGTTATATAAGGCAATGTCAAAGTTTGTCGTGTGCGACAACTTATATTCCCAATATTTTTCTCCCTGTGATAGTTAAGCCCTGCAAAAAAAGATTGATGGTTTCCCCTAATCATGCCGGTTTGTTTTACCCCTCCAGGTCAATTCTTTTTTTTAAAAAACAGAAGAAAGAACAAGAGCAAGACTCTTTTTTAAGACAATTATCAATGAGGCTTTTTAAAATGGTCTGATATTTATTTCCTTCAAAAAATTATCTTAAATTGTTTTATTTATCATTCTTTAAGTTAAAATAACCTTATATCACAATATAGAACTAGATAAAATGGCAAACAAGTTTTTTTTCAAGAATTTTCTGTCAGTTGTTTTTGAAAGATTCTCTGTAGAGCGAAACTGCTTGTGTCTTGTTTGAATTTTCAACAGGAAAATTAAAATAAAATAAACAGATTATACTGTCTACTGACCCTTTAAAATTTTCTTGTGTTATGGGAAACCAACATTCGATTTTTAATGACTTTATGAAATTAAATCCTCATTTTACAACTTAATGACTATTACAGTAAAACTTATTGTTCAAGGACGTCATTTACACTGATTGACCTCGGGTCAACTGGTGTAACTCATTCATAAAAAACAACTCAAGATTGGTCTATAAACCTACAGTAACTACTACCATTGATATAGAAATATGGTGTATAGTGGGAAGTATTCGTAGATTAGGATTTTTTTTAGCACATAGAGGATAAGCTCTATGAAAAAAAACTTTAAAATAAAATAGCTATTATCTAATGAGAAAAAAGCCTTAGGAATTTGTATTTAAAAAAAAGAAACACACTTTCACATTATTTCCATATGAAATTATTGGAAGTAAATGTAGAATACATTAGATTGTATCCGTGTTCCATTTAAGAATTAACTTTTTTTGGACCCTTATCGAAAAGATACGTCATAACTTAGTAAGTCTGACATTATATTCTGTTCCAAGGATCATAGTTGTTTCATTATATATTGAACGAAAGTCTCATCATAAAGGAATGTACAGGAGATGACTACATTTACTTCATATGTTAATCATATGTTACCTTGACCTTTGACCCAGGTTAATTTTTTTTTTTTACATACTTAGTCATATTTAACCTGTACATTAATAGATTGATTAGTTTAACCTAAAGACATGGTCAAGTTTTAGCTAATCATATATGTTAATGATGCATTCATTTTTTTTTTCAATTAATGAATACAAAGTAGATATTTTTAGTTTTGTGTAATTATTTTAACCTTTGACCTTTATGTTTTTAGATGTATTGGTTTGACGAGCAGACATGGTCCTATGTAACCTTTATTTTGGCCATCTTGCCGTTGATTGTGTATGCAGTTGCCATTGTAGTTATATCAATTTGTCATATAGGAGGGTAAGTCTCTTTATATTCCTCTATATTTCACTTTACCTGAACTGACGAGCAGACGTGGTCCTATGTAACCTTTATTTCAGCCATCTTGTCATTGATTGTGTATGCAGTTGCCATTGTAGTTATATCAATTTGTCATATAGGAGGGTAAGTCTCTTTATATTCCTCTATATTATACTTTCCATGAACTGTTTATTATTTTTATGCCCCCACCGCAGCGGAGGGGACATTAAGTGTTCTTCTTGTCTGTCCATACATCCCAAATTTAGTTTCTGTTCTCTAACTTTAGTTTTCCTCAACCAAATGCTTTAAAACTTATACACAATGCTCATTACCATAAAACACAGATCAAGTTCAAATTTTGGTGGTGTCACTTTCACAGTTCTTGAGTTATGTCGCTTTATAACGTTATAAGCAAGCGGGGGCATCATCTGTGTCCCATGGAATCATTCTCCATTTATTTTATTATCAATGTGTGATTCCCTGAATCTCAGTTCTTCATTGGTCTAAATTCATTTATGGCGTTCTATTTCCTTGCTTTCCCCTATTAAAAAAGAAAGATAAAGCTTGTCAAAAATATCCTCTAGAGAAGGAGATTCCACCATAATTTTCAGTGCGATACTATATCTAGCCACTCTCAGTCTTGCATTTTGAATTTGAAAATTTAACTGTCTCTATAGAAGAAATATTGTATTACATTTAATGCAGTGGTTTAATCTTAATGTAACTCTTTGTGTTAACTTATCTTCTTGCAAGTTTTCATTCTTATATTAATTGTATGAAGATGTTTCATAAAATATCAAGTGTTGATGACACCTTTTTTTTTACATTAACAATTTTGATTTCTATACAAATGTTTATAAATATATCTTCAGGTCAAATTGAATTGAACAGTTGTTAGAAAGTATAGGCCTTTTACAACTTCTTGTCAGGTAGATTAGGGGGATTTTAAAATTAAAATTTGGTGTGAATACTTGTCTATTAGTTTTAAACTTGAGATCTATTTTTTAGTTTAATGGTGTTGTTGGGTTACTTTCTCGTTAACATATACTCCACATCTCATATTGCCATTGATTGGTATTTTCAAAAACAAAAGAAATTTGGTCTTTTTGCCAATGTGACACTGTTTGATATTGTGTCAAATTAAGTTGTTTTAGTGGTATGAAAACAGCTGTTTTATTTGTTATTGTTAAAATTCAGTCATATAGTTTTAGAACATTAATGCTTGTCCTTTTTGTAATTTTATGTTTCAAGAAAGATACTGATAGAATTGATGATGAAAGCTTGTTGTTTAGCAAATTTATGTGCATAATTGTTTCTACATGATTTTCTCACCTATTATGAGCAGGGATTGAAGTTAAAATTTTGGCATGGTAGCCCACAGCTTTAATTTTGTAGCCCACATATATAGTCCTATACAAGAAAAGCAGAAATTTAAGTAGCCCACACCAAATTTTAGGGGCCATTGGCGAGTGGGCCCCTGCTAATTTCAAACCCTGATTATGAATAATAAAATATTAACTATATTTGGTATATAAATTCATTGCAAGATCTACATGTCCATCATACAGGGTTCACCTACACCTTTACCTTATATCATGGATCAGTGACCAATGTTAAAACTTTGTGGTTTTAGCCATTTCTCAGATACTATAAGCAAAAGGTCAACTTTATTAGCAGGCAAGACATTTCAGCTCGTTCACACTTTTTGTATAGGATATTAATGAAATATATAGTAAAGTACCTCCTACAAACTATTACAGAAACAGTCCACATAAAGATCATGGAATCCCAGCTCTCTCTCTCTCTATATATATATATATATATATATATATAGTCTACATTTCTATAAAAGATTAATCTTCAAAATTAAAATATGTTTTTGATTGAATGAGAAAAAGGATGTTCTTTTGTGACTTGTTTATTATTATCTTAAAATATTTTTGCAGGCATTTCCATTTCCACAAGAAGGAAGAGCAGTTATTGCCACATGATTGTTTACCAGGTGTTTCAATAGTCAAACCATTGATGGGAGTTGATGATTTACTGGAAGAGAACTTAGAAAGTCATTTCAGTCTCACTTATCCAAAGGTAAAGGCAAAAGATCCTCAAACTTTTATTGTGTCCAATTTAGAATTTATTGTAAATATTCATTTCATATTTTTTCACTTTAAAAAGGGTTATTGTTTTTTATACCCCAAGCTGAAGTGGGTGATATATTTAGATGTGGATATGAGAATTTACTGAAAGCTTTTGAGAATTTTAACACTATAATGCATACCTGCCAACCTCTGAAACCTTCAAAGAGGGAGATCTCCCCCTCAGCTATGACAGCTGAGGGGGAGATTTTGCACGAACGACATTTTCAAGTTAAATATATGACCTGTTTACATATTCATCTACAAAACACCAAAAAGAGTTAATAAATATACTTTATTTCTTCAATCCATGGTTATAATATATACAAGGTGGGATTTTATTTAGCCTTTTTCAATACCTCCAAGTCTCATAACATTCCATATTTAGATTTTGTTTTGAGTCTCACACTAAGCATGCTTTCAAACATTGTACAGACAACCAGAAGAAATCGAAAAGTTGATTGAACATGATGTGCAAAAAGATTCATTGCCAAGTGAACTTGGTCGTAAAAATTTAAAATCTTTCTTTCAAATCTGCTTGACATTTCGATTTGCAGATATCTATTTTTCTTTTTACACTGCCACTTGGTCCAGACAAAGACCTCTATCTTGTTGGAGTTGGCATAGCAGAAATGAATTTCGATTACTTATATATCGAACATAAAAACTTCTTTTTAAAGTTTTCAAATGATCACCGATTGTTTATTTATTTTTTATTGAAAGTAATGAAAAAGCCAGAGAATTAGGAACACGGGTTATTCCAGGTAAAAATATCCGAAAGCGGGCGATTTCCGGAATTTCGTCGTTTGCGCGGGAGTCTCCCGCTCAAAACGGGAGGGTTGGCAGGTATGCTATAATGCCATTTAACATCTCATTTTAATTTTGAGCATAGATATTCTTGGGGTTTCCCTTAACAAATCATGGAAGAAATCACATTGATTTTGGAATTTAGAATGGCAGCTCCTCCTAGTTACAGAGACATAGATTGAGAATACCACTTTTCAGTTTTAAACTAACAGATTTAAACTTGTTTTTGACATAAGTTCTACAAAGTATGTATTGCTGCAGAACTAGCAACAGGTGGCCTAGAATGTCAGTTCTGTGGTTTCAATTATTTATTAATATTTATAGAATACTTTTCAAATGATTCCATCAATTGGTTATCTTAACTTTACAAATGACAGGTATAATTACTGTTGTAGTTTGAGTTGTTACTGTGTACACAGACTGATGATGATGAAGCTATACCTGTTGTAAATAAACTGAGAAAGAAATACCCTCATGTGGATTGTACATTGTTTACAGGTAATTCATGACATTTGTTCAAAAAATCAAAAAAAGTATATCTGGGCTTAGAACTGTTATTATACCTCCTGCAAGCAAAGCGTTTTGGGGGTATAACGGTTTTACCCAGTCTGTCTATCCATTTGTCTTGTAAGCGCATTAGTGTGAAGATGATATAATTTACTTACTCCAATATCCCATATATTTTCTTGTGAGTACAATTTCTCCTAACCTGCTAGACAGATACTCATGAAACTTTACACTGCTGTAAAACATCATCGGAGGATGTGCATGAAGGAATTTTAATCCTGAATTCATATGTCAAAGGGGAGGTAATAGAATTTACTGACATCAGTATTGCATGAGGTGGTAAAAGTCTCTCGTAAGGAAGGGGGTATCTTTTTGTGGGTTCACTCGCAGTTCCATTTCATACAGGATTGTTTAAAAAGGGGTGGATGAAGGAAGGATGATAATAGCCATAATTTAACCCCTGAATTGCAAAAAAAGTTGTCTTTAATCCAATATAAAAATTATGTAAATTTTATTGAAAAATGATTTTGAAATTGTAACTTGGTCATTTTAGATCAGAAATTATGTTTGCATATTATTGCCGATACCTGACAGACTAAATAAATATCTTTGGAATATCTGAAGAATGTTTATGAGTGAATTTATAATACTTTGTTTTATTTGAGTTCAGGTGGCTTTATCATACATACCTTCTTTTCATTGAAAAATAATATTTTTTTCCAGATGGATATTTATGAGAAAAACGTCAACAGAGTTCTACTGTATTGTAAAAGGTTTATATAATGATTTGTTATATACTGTTACTTCAAAGATAAAATTTGCAAGTTTGACAATAAATTGCATAAATATTTGTAAACCTCTTGGTATACAATTTGGGACTTGGTTAACAGAATGTTGAATATGATTTTATTTGTTTATTTTTACAGGTGGAGGTCCAGGCTGTGTAAACCCTATGGTCAACAATATGGCACCAGGTTACTGGAATGCTAAATATGATTTTATCTGGGTCAGTACCAGTAGAATCAAAGGTATGTGTTAAATATTTTTATACATTTTTATGCCCCTGCTGTAGGTGTTACCCTTGACTTCCTTCCGTCTGTCTTTCTGTCTGTCCCATTTTCGTTTCCACACTCTAACTTAGGTTTTCCTTATCAAAGTTTTATGAACTTATACACAATGCTTATAACCAAAACTCACAGAGTACTAATTTGGGCAGCGAGTTGTTTACAGTTCGAGAGTTATGCTCTTAATAACTTGGAAAATTACACAAATTTTAAATTTCCCCAAATTTTATGAAACTCAAACACAATGCTAAGAACCACAACATGCAGACAGAGTTCGAATTTGGGCAGTGAGTTATTTACCATTCTAGAGTTATGCCCTTTTTAACTTCGAAAATTGCAAAGCTTGAGTGGGGGCATTCGTGTCCTCAGACACATTCTTCTTTTATTTAAAAATGATATTAGTATACCATGAATTTTTCAAACCTTGAGAGGTTTAAAAGAAACTGCTTGTCTGAGCCTGATATTGATGAAATCATCTAATGATTGTACCCAACAAATCATGTACAAAACAAAAGACAAAAAATTCTGATGATTCTTCCTAATTGCTATATATGATAATACTAACAGTATATTGATGAAACATTAAACAAACACAAATGAATTCTCATAGTGAAAACATAATTTAATCACAGGAAGATTTTTTTAAAATATGGTTCTTAAAGTTAAATATTAATAGTCCAGCTATTGAATATAATATTGTAAATGATAAACCTTTTTTATAGCCTCCTCAGATATAATTATGGATATGTCCTGTAAGCTGCAGAAACCAAAAGTGGGTTTAGTTCATCAGATGCCATTTTATACAGACTTGCCAGGATTTGCTGGAACTATTGACAAGGTAACAACTAAGGGACATAACTCACATTAATATAAGAACATAGGGAAGTAACTGATTACTTTATAACCCTCAGGAGGCACCCTTCAATTGAACATTTATGATCTATGACAAAAACTAAGCACTGTCATGTTTTATGTAGAAATTTGTATAACATCTCTGAGTCGAGATCTGTAGTATTTACATTGACAGTTATATTCTTCTGTTTGCCTGTATTGTTTTATGTTTAATACATGATTTTGTAATAAGGAATGATTTAATATATTTGGTTAGGAACTTTTTAATGTTGAGTTGTACAGTGTTCAGATTTGTGGGGAAGTCACTTTCTTGTTGACGATACTTTTAATTCTTATTATATCCATTGAGCATGGATTTTTTTTCATTACATATTACTCATTTACTGTATTTAAGGAATGACTGTAATATTTTTTCTGTCTACGAAGAAATAACATCAAAAATGTGGTGCACACTGAATAACCCGCATAGCCAGTTATTTTAAATTGTGCACCACATTTTTTTATGCCCCCACCGTAGCGGTGGGGGCATTAAGTTTTACCCTCGTCCATCCATCGTCCCAAAATTGGTTTCCATTCTCTAACTTGAGTTTGCCTCAACTTAATGTTATGATACTTATACACAATGCTTATTACCACAAAACAAGGATCAAGTTTGAATCTTGGTGGCATCACTTTAACCGTTCTAGAGTTATGCCTCTTTATAAATGGAAAAATTGCAAAATTTTTAGTTTCTGTTCTCTTACTTAAGTTTGCCTCAACCAAATGTTATGAAACTTATACACAATGCTTATTACCACAAAACACAGATCAAGTTTGAATTTTGGTTGCATCACTTTAACTGTTCTAGAGTTATGCCCCTTTATAAAAGGAAAAATTGCAAAATTTTTATTTTCTTCTAAATATCAAGTTATTTTTAAAATTGGAGTTATCTTCCTTTGTCCATGATTATAGTTGAATCAACTACAATCAATGCTTTATACAATGCAATGTTTAATTTTGACTTCCACTGATAAAACACAGATCAAGTTGAATTTGGATAGTGTCACTTTAAACATTATTGAGTTATGCCCCTTTATAAATCGAAAGATTGCAAAATTTTTAGTTTCCATTCTGTAACTTAAGTTTGCCCCAACCAAACATTATGAAACCTATACACAATATTCATTACCACAAAACTAAGATCAAGTACAAATTTTTTGTTTCCATTTTCTAACTTTAGTTTGCCTCAACCAAATGTTATGAAACTTATACACAATGCTTATTACTACATAATACAGATTAAGTACGAAATTTGGTGGCGACACTTTTATCATTCTTGAGTTATGTCCCTTTATAAACATAAAAATTGCTGAATATTTTAGTTTGTCTCAACCAAATGTTATAAAACTTATACACAACCGTTCTAGAGTTATTCATGTTTACAAATAGAAAAATTGCTGAATTTTTAGTTTCTGTTCTCTACTTAAGTTAGCCTCAACCAAATGTTATGAGACTTACACACAATGCTTATTACCACAAAACTCAGATCAAGATCAAATTAGGGTAGTGTCACTTTTACTGTTCTTCAGTTATGTCCCTTTATAACTATATGACATGCAAGCGGGGGCATCATCTGTGTCCACATGTGGACACTATCCACATTTTTGATGTTATTTCGAATAGACAGAAAAAACATTACAGTCATTCCTTATAATTTAACTCTAAATTGCATTTTAAACCGGAGTAAACATGAAAAAACATTGATGACGTCACGGTCACATGACAAAATTATGTCTATGAGCTTATAGACAAAACACTGTCAGCCAATCAGAAGACATGTTACATCCAAAATTAAATTATTCAGGAATGATTTGAAATTTAGTTTGGAATTTTATAATATGGGGGTTGTACATTGTTAGTGATTTTCCAAACCTGCTGGGTAGTATTGACTTCTTGTTTGATGATACTTTGAATTTTATTATACCCACAACAGGAATTTTTCTTCAATGTTCAATAAGTTGGGATATTCTTCACAGGACTTTCCTTTCAACTCCCTAGTTTAGACTTCTGATAAGCACATTTTTATAGCTGAACTATAATGTTAGTTAAAAGCAACTTTCAAGAAGTCAAAGTAAACAGAGTAATATACAATCTGGTCAATTTCTAAGTTTGTTGTCCTCTTATAAAATAGATGTATTTCTGATGTCTTTGCACTTACGCTAGCAAACATTTTTTTATGCTTCAGTAAAAGATTATTTGCTTCAGGGCAAAGTGATGCTAATAAAAATATGAGTTCTTTTGTCCCATTACATTATTGGCATTAATTAGAATATAACAATAATTTATGTACAAGATTTGGTCAGTAAAGGTCTTAAGGTATACTTTGGTACATTAGTCAACATTTGTTATCTTTCTTTACAGGTACATTTTGGTTGTATAATTGGTCGATGTTATCCAGCATTTAATTTCTTAGGCCTTTGCTGTTGTACAGGAATGTCCTACTTATTTAAGAAGCCTGTACTAGAGGAGTGTATGCCTCAAGGAGGACTTATCTACTTTGGCAAATACTTAGCTGAAGATTTCTTTTTATGTACATTATTACACGAAAAGTAAGTACTCATTGATGTAACACAATATTTATCTAGATTTTCTTTCAAGTATATTCAGGTACAATACAGAATTTGGTCTTGTAATGTCTGCAGTCATTTGCTCCCAAATTGCAATTGGCAGGCAGGGGTGCAGGTTATAGAGTACTATATGCAAGAAATTACAGAAAAAATTTATTTTACGAAGTTTGTTTAGGTTCTACCATCTTTGTTATTGAAATTGTAGAGGGCACACTTATCTCTAATAGTTAAACTAATCTATATTATTTTAATTTGAAAATTCAGTATTAACTGAAAAAAATCAAAATTCAATCCTTCATTACAAATTTCTCATTTCTATCGATAGTTTGTTTTAATCTAGATTTATTGATATAAAAAGGATATAAGGAAGGGATTTTACGGACAATTTCTTTTACTTTCTCTAACAAGATTTGTTGATTGATATTTATTTATATTTTTCTAATTATTTTGCAGAGGATACAAGTTAGTAATGTCAGCTTACCCAGCTCAACAAAATATTCCATCATCATCTATTTGTTTCTACAAGGATAGAATGGTCAGGTTGGTATCTATATGTCTTATGTTTCTACATGTCATAGGTTTCTACATGTCATAGGTATATTTTCTCAAGAACTACAAGTCAAGGCTTTCTGAAATTTGGTGACCATGCTGTACCCGCTGATGTGTTTCACATTCATCAATCATCAGCATTCTGTTAACTGAATATAGCAGGGGTATCATTAGAGGGCATAAGCTCACAGTTAAACTTTTTCAAACACATACTATAGTGATTATAACATCTGTTTGGAAATTTGTAGAGAAGAATTATAAGAGTGTTTGAAAATGCAGGTGGTACTTTTGGGTATTCTAATGAATCATTCCTATATTTTCTTATTTATTTGTAGATGGCTGAGGTTACGCCTTAACATGATGACATTTACAAGTGGTGTACTAGAACCATTAGGTGACATGATTCCTATAGGAATTTTAGTTAGTCTAAGTGTCAATCATTTCTTCAACATTAGTGTATGTTATTTCCTGCTGTTCCATTTCACTTTATGCCTAACATCAGATTATATACTACTTAAACGGTACCAGGTGAGTTGATTAACAAATATATTATATTGTGGATTCATTTTCTTTCTTGGATACACATTATTGTGGATTGAGGAAAAATTGTGTATTCATGGATATTTGATATCATGGTTTTGCCAAAGTCTGAAATCAAGCCTATAGAATATTGATACTTAGTTTGTCATTCAAATAGGTGATCTACCTTTACCCACAAAATCCAAGAAAATTGGTTTCCCAGGAACTATAATGAATAACTATTGGTATCCCAGGAACTATAATGAATAACTATTGGTATCCCAGGAACTATAATGAATAACTATTGGTATCCCAGGAACTATAATGAATACCAATACCAGGAACTATAATGAATAACTATTGGTTTACCAGGAACTATAATGAATAACTATTGGTATCCCAGGAACTATAATGAATAACTATTGGTATCCCAGGAACTATAATGAATAACTATTGGTATCCCAGGAACTATAATGAACCAATACCAGGAACTATAATGAATAACTATTGGTTTACCAGGAACTATAATGAATAACTATTGGTATCCCAGGAACTATAATGAATAATTATTGGTATCCCAGGAACTCTAATGAATAACTATTGGTATCCCAGGAACTATAATGAATAACTATTGGTATCCCAGGAACTATAATGAACCAATACCAGGAACTATAATGAATAACTATTGGTTTACCAGGAACTATAATGAATAACTATTGGTATCCCAGGAACTATAATGAATAACTATTGGTATCCCAGGAACTCTAATGAATAACTATTGGTATCCCAGGAACTATAATGAATAACTATTGGTATCCCAGGAAGATCTAGTATTTTCATCATTCATATTTGTTTTATAAGTTCTTTTGTCTGTCCTGTATATGGTTCAGATCTAAAGATTGACATGTCATAGAAAAATATGTATTATAGAAAAACAAAGGATATAGGGTATCCATCAATGACACAAAATCAATACATACATAGCAAAAAACATTCTAAAGCAAGGGAACAGGGCTTTTATTGCTGTTCTTCATCTCAAAGTCTCAGTCAGGCCTTCTACACGGAGCAACAACAAAAAAAACTCACCTCACTGCAAGTTTAAGTCTTTAGTCTGCTTAATTTGGATAGTAAAAAATGTCAATTCAAAATTTTGATGGCATTGACCCACCGTTTATCCATGAGTTCTGGAAATTAAATATTTGATCTATGTCAACTCATAACAATTGAAAGTCATAGAAGAATGATATTATGTTACTAGGCACATTTTTTTGATAATAATAAATATCCATGCAAAAGTGATTCACCATGTCCATTACTTTTTGCGAGATTAATTCCAGTTTTTATTTTTTTTTTATATAAACTAGAGTCCAATTTAATAAACATAACAATCAGTCAGCTACAAGGAAAACCAATTGCATAAGCGAGTATATTAAAAGAGTTTCAATTCTTTTTTGTCGAGCCTTCGACTTTTGTCGAAAAAGCGAGACATAGCGATCCTACATTCCGTCGGCGTCGTTGGCGGCGTCCACAAATATTCACTCTGTGGTTAAAGTTTTTGAAATTTTAATAACTTTCTTAAACTATCTTGGATTTCTACCAAACTTGGACAGAAGCTTGTTTATGATCATAAGATAATATTCAAAAGTAAATTTTGTAAAAAAAAAATTCCATTTTTTCCGTATTTTACTTATAAATGGACTTAGTTTTTCTGCCAGTTAACATTACATTCACTCTGTGGTTAAAGTTTTTGAAATTTTAATAACTTTCTTAAACTATCCTGGATTTCTACCAAACTTGGAAAGAAGCTTGTTTATGATCATAAGATAGTATCCAGAAGTAAATTTTGTAAAAACAAAATTCCATTTTTTCCGTATTTTACTTATAAATGGACTTAGTTTTTCTGCCAGTTAACATTACATTCACTCTGTGGTTAAAGTTTTTAAAATTTTAACAACTTTCTTAAACTATCCTGGATTTGTACCAAACTTGGACAGAAGCTTATTTATGATTAAAAGCTAGTATCTAGAAGGAAATTTTGTTAAAATTTTGTTCCATTTTTTCCGTATTTTACTTATAAATGGACTTAGTTTTTCTTCCAGTTAACATTACATACAGTCTGCAGTTTAAGTTTTTAAAACATTTATTAGATTCATAAACTATCCTGGATTTTTACCAAACTTAGACAGAAGCTACTTACAATCAAAGATAGTATAGAGAGGAATATTTTTATTAATTTTTTTCCTCATTTTTGTTGAGCCTGCGATTAACAGTGAAAGTAGGCGAGACACTGGGTTCCGTGGAACCCTTACGATTTTTTTTATTTTTTGTCCAGTTCTTGATAATATGATTTTAAAAGAAAAAGAATATTTTATAATTTTTGTTGTTCATTTTCAGTTTCTTTTCCTGTTAAATTTATAGAAGGGTTATACATTTAGTAATATTTAAAACATAACTTTTATCCCTTTCATAAATTGTCAAAAAATTTCAAACACATTGGCTCTTATTGAAAAATATTGTGTGTACAGTCACTTTGATATACAATTGTATTTACAAACACAGTATAAATGGTTCTTTATTTTTCAGAATGGGTCACTTATATTTTCAAAATGGAAGTTTGTGTTCTGTTGGTTTGTTACTGAACTTATGAGAACTGTAACATATTTTGAGGCTATTTGGAGGCCTCAGACAATATTTTGGGGTACAAAACAATTTCGGGTACGTCTTGGAGGAGTTACTGAAGTAGTGCGAGATACTGACAAGACTAAATCATAGTAGACTAGTCATGACTTAGAAAGGGAGATAAATTTACCAAAAATAGGAAGTAGACAAGGGAGATAACCTCGATGAATGGAATCAAGAACAGAAAGACTTAGGAAAGTGTATCATGTTGCATTTTAGTTTTGGTTTGATTGGGAATTCAGTGCTTTAATGAAGGATATGTTTGGGTTATTCAACAACAACTGTCATCAATAGGGATACACTTGCATATAATCACGATAGTAGCATTTGATATATTTGGGAAATATTCAATTATTTTTGCTAAATTTGGATTATTAGTAGATGAAAGAAAATTCTAATACTGCTCAAGATTAGCACATGTTTGCCTGAACTTAGTGAGACATCAGTGATTTATAAATTTATAGGTTTTATAGTAATTTAAGGATGTAGAAGACTTGTGCATTTTCAACCTGTTAGGTAATATTGATTCATTATTGATATTTCTCACTGACAGTGCAATATAATAAAGTTTTATAAAAAAAATAAAAAAATTATTAATCCACAATTATGACAAAATATTGTCATCTACTATTGTTTTCTGAAAAGTAATTGTAGTTTACTTTTTTTAAATGGGTATTTATACAGGTGATAAATACAACATTTTAAGGTCCAAAAACAGTGAATAATTTTTTTGTTAAACACCAAATAGTTTATAGATTCTTTTAATTTGTAGGCTCCACATTTTAAAATATTTTTGTATTTGCAATCATCATTTCACATGTCTGTCATGATTTACATATAAATAACCAGTATTTTGCATTTTACTAGAACTGGTGGATGAAATGTTCCATTTATATAAAGGAGAATTTTTGATGAGCTACTATTTGTCAAAAGTCGTATAATTATTCAGTCTTTCACAAATACAATTATTTCATTATAACTTAAATGATAAATTCTGTTCACTTTAGTGCAGAAATGTCATTTGAAATATAAATGTGATATCTCACAGCCTTATATCTTTATATGAACATCTGAAGGGCATTATATGATAGATATATCATACATTTTGAATTTTGAATTCACGGGGCTAAATTCATAGTCTTATCATACCTTCTCTGTTGATATCTTATACTTTTTGAATTTTGAATTGAAGGGGCTAAATTAATGGTCTTATCATACCTTCTCTGTTAATATCAAAGTTGATCTGTAATAATGTATCATTCCTTTGTACAATGTATAGTAATCTCTGTTATTTCGCCCTTTATAAAAAGATATATTTTAATACTATATGTGACCAAGACTTAATGAGAAAATAAGTGATTTTTTTGGAAATTTTATTTTAGAGTTTTGTATATTGTAATTGAAAAACACAATGATTGAATTTTTGTTTTAAAAGAAAACAGGCTATTTTAGGAGATTATTTTGGCCAGGTTGCCAAGAGTGCAAATTTTCAGCAATTTTGCAAAAGACAGTACCAATGTTGTATAATCAATTCCTCCTGCAGTTTTCAACCCAGATCCTTCAAACTTTATAGAATTTTTGCAAACCAATTGAGGATTTTTACATTTTATTATGGAGTTGATAAAAAAAAATCCCTTATTTTTACAATTTATTTTTCCTTTATTTGACTATGGTCCATTTTTCAATTATCTCTAGGTGTATCATGTATTGATTTAATTTTTTCTGAAGGGTTGTTTTAATAGGTAAATCTGAGGGAAAAAAACTCAAGTTTTCAAGTAGTACATTATGGTTGATACAGGACCTACTATTAGATTGATACAGGACAATCAAAATAATCTTAGAAAACAATCAAAACATCAGCAGAGGGGGTCTCATTGGGGGGTTCTGATCCCGGATCCCGCTTACTGTTTTGTCAGATTCCCGTATCCCGCTTACACTATGTGCGTAAGCAATTCTCATTTTTTTGTAATTTCCCGTTTTCACGGCACAAAAATTTGACTTTCACGTGTCACGCTTTCAAAAAATTGTCAATCCCGGGTCACGCTTAGACCCCAATGAGACCCACTAAAGAACATCAGTGATTATTGAATGATCCAAAATTAATTTTAAATGACTTGTGTAAACAAAACTATTATCTAATTAAATATTTGAAAGATTGCTAAGAAGTTATTTCCATAATTATTTGTTTCACATCATTCTTTCATAAATGGCATACAGAAATATTTTTATTATTAATAATTTTGCCTATTTCAACAAGAACCCTGATTCATTTTAATTAAGGACAAAACAATATAAAATAAGTGAAAATTAAAGATGTTAGAATATCCTGCAGACTGACTTTATAAAAGTATGAAAAAGCTTTAAAAAAGCCTTACAAATTTTGAAAATTGTGTTATATACATTTAAATCATAAAAAGCACCCAAAACAAAAAGGAATAATCTTACTTCTATTTCTATAGATAATAAAAATAAAATGCAAAAAAAGAAGAGAATGGTAAAAAATTACAATATTTTTCTCACTTTTATTTCTCTTTATTATTTCATAAAGTTAACCAAATCAGAACTTCTATATATGTTCATATAAGAAATTGAATTAAAAACAGAATCCAAACTTTTAAATGTTATAGATATAATTATTTTTTTGTAAGATCTATTTTTAAACAACATGGACCAAAGTATGACATATCAGGGAATTTTCTAATAGATATTTATATTGAATTGCTGTTACTATTAATTTGTTTTTTTTAGTGAATATGAATTATTTAGATTTTTTCTTCACATACATAATATATCATTGTTTATGTTTTCATCTTGTAAATGACAATCTGTTGAATATATTTTATTTTTGAATGACTGTGCCAGTATTTATGGTTGGATTGTTCAATTCAACTCATTTTCATACTAGTCTTAGTGTAGCAGATATGAATAAAAGGAGTCAATGAGACAGCAACCCGAGACAGCAACTCAACATCACTAAAACTACGATACCCTGAGGTCAACATACAGTCTTCAACAAAAGAAAAGTGTGTATACAATATGTCAAGTTACATCCAGTCTAGAATGGTAAATAAATTTAACAAGGATTATCAAAGATCAGTTATTAACACTATACTGTGGATTCATTATTATTCGTTGGATACCAATTTTCGTGGATTTCGTGGGTATAGGTGAACCACGAAATTAAATGTTCAACGAATAACAAATTTTCTATAGGCTTGTATGCAGACTTCGACAAAACCACGAAATTAAATATCCACGAACATGTTAGTTTTCCTTAATCCACGAAAATTGGTCCCCACGAAAATAAATGAATCCACAGTATTCATTAAAGGACAACAATATAAAAAATGTATGACTCTAGTCAACCAGTGACACGGTTTCTTACATGGGATGTGTCCATAAACATGTTGAGGTTAGATATTTTGTAAGTGGTCTTGAGTACATGAGAAGTATAAAATATGTTACACAGACATGTAAATCATTGCTTGATTTTAATTAGCTTTACAGTTAAGGGTTATATCACATTTACATTTAATTTTTTTAACTGCTGAAAAAATAAAACCAGTATTAACAAAGTTAAACCTGTTAAATTTTGTAAACCAGAATTTAAGTATTGATAAGTTTCTAATATAAAGCTTTAAACAAATGCTTGGAGAATACATATTTCTTGTAATGAAATTCATGCCTCCTTTGTTGTATCTTTTTAGGCTGATCATATACCATTGTGAATGTGTAATCTCTCATTAAACTGATGTTATGTCTTTCATTGAATATGACCCTATCACCATGACATTTCTCACTGTAAAAATGATATTTATTGTGTTTGAATGAGTTTCATTGTTATGTATAACAACTATTTTTGATTTGCCTCAAAGCATAGTTTAAGTCATTTAAGATATTGTGTTACTTAAGTGTTTTGAACATTACTTCATTTCATTTTAAATAAAGGAGCTCTTTCAGCTTAGGCATGATGCTTTAAACCAGGAGAGGTACTTCGAAATCTGACAGTCACTCATAAACATTTATTTTGATATATTTCTTGTATTTTTTGTCATAAAAAGTAGGAATAAAAAACTGAAACACAGACTGAATGTCAAATTGCCTTTTTTTGCCTTTTTTTTGGTGCCATATAACATGTTTGACTGGAACACCTATTTGCAAATTTTAATTTCGAAAGTAAAAGATTTATCTTTATATGACTGCTAAATGATTGAACTCTTAAATACATTTCGGAAATTAGTCTCAAAATTAACTTAAACATCACTTTATGGATAATGATCCAACACCAGGATATTTATTACAAACAAATGTACTGCTAAGTTTTTTTCAAAGGCTGATATACTTACAAATTTTCGGCATTGGATAGAAATAATTCTTAATTTCCTAAAAAGAGGAAAAGGGGGGGGGGGGGGGGGGGGAGAAATTCTACATGTTTATCTGATTAATACTTTCTGTTTTTTTGAGGGAAGGAATGCTTTAAATTTACAAAATGTTAGTCCCATTTATTTTTCTGTAGGAAAAAGATAAAACAGGCAAGCATAAAAAAGGTTGTTGTTTATATTGATATACTTTATAATATGATTTCTTTTGATCTAAAAAATCCAGCTTCAACCAGGTTTAGTAATTGACAGCTTTTTTCTCTAATTTACATTGCAAAATATTCCAGTCCGTAATATACTTTCGATTCATTGTATTTTCCATTTCATTTCTTAAAAAAAAAAAAAAAAAGAGTTGAAAAAGTAGATTAAAAAATCATTTCATTTTTGAAATGACCCCTTTATTTTTGCAGTTTGAAAAGCTTTTTTGTACAATACTGAGTATCAAATAACATTTATTTTTTATATCATACACATTTTGACTTCTGTTGGTATAACAGTCTATATAATTATACCTATACAGCTATTTATGACAAGAGTACTGTAAAAATTGATATTAATACTAGGGTAATATTTTTTGCTATTTCTAAGTTTGAAAAATAGTTCTAAAGCAACCTTTAATGTCTAATTGCTTGATGTTTTTTGTTGTTGAATATAATTGTTATATCTGTTAATATATCTGAATTTAATTGTATAGTAAATTTTTAAGAAAACTTTATATTCTAGCTCCTTTACATGAGTAAATCTAAGATCTGTGAATAAATGGTTGGTGTTTTGTTATGTCTGTAAATTCATAATAATTGTAATTTTTTGTTTGTGGATTTGAAAATTGTGTATAAATGATTGTTAATTTTCTTGTAATTTTATACAATGGATATTTATATCATCTGTTATTCTGTCCATATCTACATTCCCATTATATTTTATGCAAATATAGAATATTTTGTTATAATGGATTGTTTATTTATTTGCCAAGTACGGGAGATAAATAAAGGCAATAGTAGTATACTGCTGTTCAATAGTCATAAATCGTTTAAGCGAAAACAAATCCGGGTCACAAACCAAAACCAAGGGAAACACATCAACTATAAGAGGAAAACAACAGAAAAACAGAAACACTGAACTGCAACAAAAACAAATGCCAACATACATAGAAACGGACTATTTGATAACAACTGCCATATTTTTGACTTGGTACAGGACATTTTAAGAAAAAATGTGGGTTGAACCTGTTTTTATGGCTAGCCAAACCTCCTGCTTATATGGCAATGTTAAGAATACAGCTAAAATGACAACATTATGTGACAGGAATACATTACAAATAAACGCAAGAATACTCAGGACAGAGAAATACATAAATAGATAATATAATAGTACATTACAACATGTAAACCACAGAATAAAAAAAGGACACCTCCAATGAATTTACAACAGTACACCAGGACACCACGATAGAATTATAAACTGTGCGTCACACAAATGTATCAACGCCACAAAAAGTGACATTTTTTGTGACGTTTATTTTATCGCAGGTAAATTTCTACAAATAGAATATAAATTTGGGATTGAGTTTGTAATGGTGCTATTTTATGGATTTTCTAACCATGACAATAATACCAAAACAGAATTGTGTTTGTAATGGTATAACCATTTGTACCCTTCCACCACGTTGGCTTTTCTTCCAAATCAAAACTAAGTATAGACAAAAAAATCCTGTGCATATAGATACTTTAAACTAAATTCACATAAATGAAATAGCTGATTATCTCAACCCTTACATACACACAGAAAATAAAAAAAGAATTCAAACCACAAATGATAAGACGATAAGACATAACTCAATATCGAACCAGACATAAAAAAGAAACATAACTAAATACATGAATGTTGGATGTATAAATACCGAGACATGTCGTATAGCAATGCGAATTCACACTCGGCAAAACATTCATATTTGGGAATAGGTCACATTGGGTACTTAGCAGACCAGATGATGTAGATGGTAAACCACAATCTAAGACGTAGTAAAAATGTTGTTAGTTTAGACACAGACACATTGTATAGATCAACCAATTCGTGATGGTGTCCATAAAATTTACAGAATGTCATTTTTAGCTCACCTGGCACGAAGGGCAAAGTGAGCTTTTCTCATCACTTGGCGTCCGTCGTCCATTGTCCTTCGTCGTCGTTAACTTTTTACATTTTGAACTTCTAGAGAACCACTGAATTGAATGAAACCAAACATGGTATGAATGTTCCTTTTGAGGTGCTGACCAAGTGTTGCTACGTTGTAGTCGATCCATCATCCAAGATGGCCGCCACCGGGGGACTTGGTTTAACATAGGACCCTATGGACAATACATGCAAATGTCTTCTTTTAGAGAACCACTGAACGGAATGAAAGCAAATATGGCATGAATGATCCTTATGAGGTGCTGACCAAGTGTTGTTACTTTGAAGCCAATCCATCATCCAAGATGGCCGCCAGCGGGGGACTTCGTTTTACATAGGACCCTATGGACAATACATACAAATGTCTTCTTTTAGAGAACCACTGAATGGAATGAAAGCAAACATGGCAGGAATGTTACTTATGAGGTGCTGACCAAGTGTTGTTACTTTGAAGCTGATACATCATCCAAGATGGCCGCCAGAGAGGGATTTAGTTTAACATAGGACACAATATGGGAAATACATACAAATGTCTTCTTCTAGAAAACCGCTTAATGGATTGATAACAAACATGGTATGAATGATCTTTTGAGGTGCTGACCAAGTGTTGTTACTTTGTAGCTGATTTGTCATCCAAGATGGCTGCCAGCAGGGGGAGTAAGTTTAACATAGGACCCTATGTGAAATACATACAAATGTTTTCTTCTAGAGAACCACTGAATAGAATGAAACCAAACATGGCATAAATGTTTCTAATGAGGTGCTGACCAAGTGTTGTTACTTTGTAGCCGAACCTTCAACCAAGATGGCCGCCAGCAGGGGACTTAGTTTAACATAAGACCTTACGGGAAATACATACAAATGCTAGAGGAGCACTGAATGGAATGAAACCAAACATGGCATAAATGTTCCTTATGAGGTGCTGATGAAGACCTTAATACATGTTTTTTTATAGATTGAGATCTACTGTAAACTGCAAAAATATCAAGAAAAGAAGATCTACACATAAGTCAACAAAATTGTCAGTTGACATCTTGTCGGAGTTATTGTCCTTATAAAGTCATTTTCTACAAATTCAATGAATTTATTGGTATTTTCTGTAAACTTTACAAAAGTCTTCTGCTTTTGATTAAATTAAGGGGCCAATGTATCAAACCAAATTTGGCCTCAATCATTATTAGGGTATCTGTTATGATTTTAATCTATTTTTACATGATTTCCAAAACCAAAGTAGAATCAGGTGAGCGGCACAGGCTTTTGAGAGCCTCTAGTTAATCTTTCCTCCTCATAACTCTGTTGGAGCAGTTTCTGCGTAAGGAGCACACTCCTGTATATGAAGTCCGTATAGTGTGAACATTAATGAGCATAACGTATCAACTGAGATATGTAAACACCATACGATGGGACAGAGGGTATGTTACTGCTGAGAAATGGGAAATTGATAATTGGGAAGTTGAAATCATCCCGTTTGTCACAGATTTTAGTGTGAAGTCGTCCATCTGTGTCAATATTGAGGAAAAGACCAAGGTATGAAGCAGTCCTTCTAGTATCAGTAGTATCCTTAATTTCAAGTTCACTGGGATATATGAGATGTAAGTACTGACTGAAATATGGGTTATTCAGTGATAGGACATCATCAATATATCTGAAAGTAAAATTAAAGAATTTCGTTAGGTGCTTTTTCTTTTTGTCTTTTAGAAGGTTCTGAATGAATTCTGCTTCATACGAGTACAAAAACAAATCGGCCAGTATGGGTGCACAATGTGTACCCATTGGAATGCCGACTCTCGAAATATCAATCCTCCAAACTAAACATACAGCTTAGAAGTAATAAACCACTAATTCGTAGCCCCTATTGCATTCTCTGACATCTCAGCAATTTCAAGTATGCATATCTATTTTGTATTAAGTTTGCATAGAGTGACAGTTATTCAATGTCAAAATCATACCTTAACCTGGATTGTGGTGAAAAAGTCCACATACCTTTATTTGCATATACGAGCACACAGGTTCTTGGAAGTTTTGAAGTGCAAAAACAAGTATTCTGAACTGAGAAACAGGCAAAATATGTCCTTCTATTTCAATGTCAGACTATTTTAGTACCAAACAAAACATTCAACAAGGGTTCAGCAGTGATCCCATGTTTTTAAGCTTTCATATCAAAATTACCTAAATATTAACATATTTGTAAGTTACAGCTATGGGTAGGAACTGTTTTGTTAAAATATGTACAACTATCTTATATGCTCTTCCAAACTGAACCCGAATTAGTGGTTCTATACCTGCACTACTTACTGTCCATTTATGAATTATGGTAGATTGCATTCCAAGTTTGTTTTGACAACAAACTATACATGGTTTTTCCTTTTTAGTTAATCATATACTTATGAGGTCAAAAGTGGAATTGATGGTGCGTTAGTTTGATGAAAAATATCACTTAATCTTTGGTAAAAGAAGGACGAAAGATACCAGAGGTACAGTCAAACTCATAGATCGAAAACAAACTGACAACGCCATGGCCAAAAATAAAAAGACAAATAGACAAATAATAGTACAGATGACACAACATAGAAAACTAAAGACTAAGCAACACAAGTTGGTAAGTTATGAGAAGTAACAAATTTGCAATTTAAGAATCTAAAGCATTATAAGTAATATTTTAAAAGGCATACACGGAAATGCCTTGGTAAACAAAATCTTTAAACAACGAATATGTATCCAATGGCGTAAAGCTTTTTATTTGGGTGAACAAACAATGAATTCACCCATAGTCCTTCAGATTCTGAAATTACAAAACAGAAGAATAAGAAGCTTTAGTTTTAGAAAAAAAATCAATGAAACAGCATGAACACAGATATATACATATGTCATAACCAATACTATTATTGATAGGGTAATCACAATAAGAAAACAAACTTAATGACATAGTTACAAACCTGATCTTGAACAGTATCTAAACATTTTTAGAAATTTACCTGTGACGTCACTTTTGTGGCTTTGACCCAGTCGTGTGAAAGACAGTTCGTGATTCTGTTGTGCTGTTTTGTGTGCTGTCGTATGTTGTTTTACGTGTTCGTTTTTATTCTGTGGTTAGCATGTCGAAATGTACTATTGTATTGTTTATTTGTGTATTTCTCTGTCCTGAATGTTCTTGCATTTATTTGTACTGTATTCCTGTCATGTAATGGTGTCATTTTAGTGTTATATCTAACATTGCCATAAAAGTGCGAGGTTTGGCTAGCCACAAAACCAGGTTCAACCCACCATTTTTTCTTAAAATGTCCAGTACCAAGTCAGGAAAATGGCAGTTGTTATCTTATAGTTCGTTTCTGTGTGTGTTGCATTGTCGTTTGTTTTTTGTTCACTTCAGTTTTTCTGTTGTTTCGTTGTTTTCCTCTTATAGTTGATATGTTTCCCTCGGTTTTAGTTTGTTACCCGGATTTGTTTTTGTCTCAATCGATTTATGACTTTCGAACAGCGGTATACTACTGTTGCCTTTATTTAATATTATCTTTATCAATTTCTAGATCTAAAAAACTGATATATGAAATGTTCAAGTATTTGATAATTTCTTCATTTTCAGATAAAACTGATATGTGAAATGTTGAAGTATTTGATAATTTCTTCATTTTTAGATAATAATGATTGAAAATTGAAGCAGCTATGAAATCACGAAGAATCAATACTTAGTACATAGATTAAGGTAGTATGGCAGTATAAACAAAACATTATAAAATTCTTTCATACTTTGCCAAAATATAGCATACATTGTGATATGTT